CAAAGGTCGTCACTTGTATGTTGAACTACAAACTTGTCATCTGGAATTCTTTCACAGTTTTTTGCAGATAGTGTTATTTACCATAAAGTAATTCAGAGTTATTCATACCAGAGTAACCAGAGAGGATCATATATTTTTAAATATATAACTTTCTACAGGACTGAATGTAATATCTTTATGTAAAAGTCCAGAGCCTCTGGGGAGTATCCGAGTATTTATAACATTACACAAACCAAAAGTCTCCATCACAGTGTTGATGAAATCCTGGGTTTATCCATCTTCTGGGGCGGGCCTACAGAGGAGTTCAGAAGATTTCCCTGTGAGGGAGCTGCTGGTGAATATCATGAGTCCTGCTTGATCAATGCGATGAGCTTCAGTGTTCCTGTTGTTTCTTAAACGATGCCTCTCTCAGTGGGTCAACAGAACATCTGGCACAGGACAGCTGTGATGAAAGAAAAGTTTCTCCAAACCTCTGGACCCAGGAAACCCAGCTTGGTCCTGATGGTCTCCCTCACTAGTTTCTCCCCAGGGTGAATGTAGCTGTTGATAAAATATGGATTCTATCATGAAATGAAAAGAACAAATTACACTACACTACTGAAACGTTCTGCTGATGTTTTTAAAGTTTCCATGTTACCAGGCTGTAGAGGGCTCTGAAGATTTAAACAGTTTTAGATCCATCACACTCACAGTCTTATGTTAAAATCTCAAAGGACAGCATGATATTTTTGATATTAACAGCAACGCTGGGCCTCTGTAAAGTGTGCAGCTGATCTCATCGCTGTCTAAGAATGGATAAAAAAAAAACCTAAGAAGTGCTGAATCCTTCAATAACACAGACTATTAGAGTAACAGGTGTGTAGCATCGCTAACTAGCTAGAAAAAAGCCTCCAACACAGTGTGTATGCTAGCGGCTAATCTAGTGAACGAATTAACAACAGAGTGATTTTAGAACTATAAGACGATAAGCTGTGTGTGTTTTTTATAACAGTGACATGGTTGTATTTACCTTAATTAAACGAGTCGTCAGTCACGATAAACCAGCAAAAAAACTCCAGCCGGGCTACGTAAAAAGTGTAGAGGGGGTGTGTTGCGGTCACGTCCAGCGGGTGTGTGGGCGGGAGCGTTACACAGTCGCTCCACCTCAAGTCACTACTGCGCAGACTCTGGCTCCAAATTTGCAAGATGGCAGCCTCCACAAGTCGGGATATTTTGGCTTCATTTTTGCACAATGGGAGGAGGCGGTGTCGCGTCGTCCATCTTTTATACAGTAATTGATTTAAACACAGAGTGTTGATCTTCCTTCAGCCCGAAGATCAAAGAATTGGGGTATATAACTCTGCCCTAAGTGAAAGAGTTGAAGTATCGTGGGGTCTTGCTCACAAGTGACGAGAGAAGGGAGCAGGAGATCGACAGACGGACCCTCACCTATGATCATGAGATGTGGGTAGTGGCCAAAAGAACAAGATCACGGATACAAGTGGTGGAAATGGGCTTCCTCCAAAGGGCAGCTGACTAACTCCAGACACGAGTGTGATGTTGCCTGGATTCCAGCTAGTGATGGGATTTCCGTCTCTTTTTAGAGAACCTGCTCTTTCGGCTCGGCTCACTAAAAAGAGCAGGCTCTTTCAGCTCCCAACCGGCTCTTCAGGTTGTTTTGTTGCTTTAATTAATTTATTATTAACAACACTATAAAATTCTGCACAAAAAGAATTACTGGTATCGGATAAAACCTGAACGATACCCATCCCTACCCACGGCTCGCATCGTTCACTTCAAAGAGTCGGCTCCAAGAGTCGTTTCATTCGCGACCGACACATCACTAATTCCAGCTGCTGCAGGTGGACAGGACGAGAGAGAGCAGTAAAAGGAAAGGAGGGGGTCTTGTAGTGTTTGTGAACGACAGATGGTGTAACCCTGGGTACATCACTGTGAAAGAACAACTATGCAACAGAGACATTGAGCTGTTGGCCATTAGCATGCATACATACTACCTCGCCTTGTCCCTGTGTACAAGCCCTTAGTGCGCAGGGAGCCACCAGCCACCCACACAGTGCAGAGATCATCGGAGGAGAGTGAGGAGGCTCTTAGGGACTGTTTTGAGTCTACTGTGTGGGAGGTGATCTGTGACCACCACGGAGGGGACATCAACAGCCTTGTGCCCTGCATTACAGACTGTGTGGATAACGCCATACCCATTGTTTCTCCAACAGTAAACCGTGGATTACCCTAGAAATAAAAGCTGTCCTCAAGCAGAAGAGGAGGGCATTCAAATCTAGAGACAAGAAGGAGTTGAA